TTGGTGAGTTCCTTATAGATTTTGGATATGAACCCTTTATCTGATATGTCATTTGCAACTATCTTTTCCCATTCTGTTGGTTGCCTATTAGTTTTGTGGGTTGTTTCCTTTGCCGTGCAGAAGCTTTTAATCTTGATGAGGTCCCAATCGTTTATTTTTGCTCTTGATTCCCTTGCTTTTGGGGATGTGTCAAGTAAGAAGTTGCTGCGGTGGAGGTCAAGGAAGTTGTTTCCTGCTTTCTCCTCTAGGGTGTTGATTTCAGGTCCTTTATCCATTTTGAGTTTATTTTTGTGCATGGTGTGAGAAAATGATCTAGTTTCATTCTTCTGCATGTTGCTGTCCAGTTCTCCCAACACCATGTGTTAAAGAGGCTGTCTTTTTTCCATTGGATATTCTTTCCTGCTTTGTCAAAGATTAGTTGGCTATATACCTTTGGGTCCAGCTCTGAGTTTTCAATTCAATTCCATTGGTCTATGGGTCTATTTTTGTGCCAATACCATACTGTCTTGATGACGACAGCTTTGTAGTAGAGGCTAAAGTCTGGGATGGTGATACCTCCCGTTTTGGTTTTATTTTACAGTATTACTTTGGCTATTCGGGGTCTTTTGTGGTTCCATACAAATTTGAGGATAGTTTGTTCTAGTTTTGAGAAGTATGCTGGTGCAATTTTGATTGGAATTGCATTGAATGTGTAGATTGCTTTGGGTAGTAATGACATCTTAACTATATTTATTCTTCCTATCCATGAGCATGGAATGTTTTTCCATTTCTTTGTGTCTTCTTCAATTTCCTTTATAAGTTTTCTATAGTTTTCATCATACAGATCTCTTGTATCCTTGGTTAGGTTTATTCCTAGGTATTTTATGGTTTTTTGTGCAACTGTGAATGGGATCAGATTCTTGATTTCTCTTTCTGCAACCCGCACATACATATGTATATCTGCATATATAATTCACATATAAAACTGAGAAGTTCTAAGAAACAGTACTCGTTACTACCACTACCACAGCCAACATGATGTTTATTATGTGAAACACTCTTTTCTAAATGCTTTTTATAAATGTATTCCCTTAATTCTCACAAATCTGTGAGACAGGAGAGGTAGACGCTATCAATATTTGTATTTTACTGATGAGGAAGATGAGGGACAAAGAGACAGAGTGACAAGTGCCAGGTCATATAGCTACCAAATCGTACAGCTACACTCCAAACTCAAGCAGTCTCGTTCCTGAGTCTTTATTTTCAACCACAATACTTTGTGATTCCCTTACTTTTTGTGCTGAAATATAATATATTCCATACTCTGTCTATTGCTGCAATCAATAACTGATTTTACTTCCCACTAATGGGTCACAGCTAGCAGCCTCAAAACCAGTGGCCCTAGATGACCCCTAGCTCTCTTTCAGCTCTGGGGTTCTATGGGGCTTAGTGGAGATCCGACAGTTCTTTATCCTGAAGGATTTACTCTAAACCGTTTGATCTATGAGTTAATTTCCAAATGTCAGGCCAAAAAGGCCACTTTGCCAGTATCCACAGCAAGAGAGAAAGGTTAATAATCAGTTTCCTTATATGTAAAAACTGAAATAAGCTCCTAAATATCTTCTTGCTTGTAATTCTAAACCTTGTATTCATGAGTTTTCATACCTCACTAAGTTTCCGGTGTAAATTCTGAAATTCACTTAGCCTTCTAGGGACAGTCCAGTTCTTAGTTTCAACTCCTCCAACTTCTTGTAAGCTTACCATGACAAAGTAACAGGGCATTTGCTCACCGTTCTCTTCTGTAACCTTGGAAAAATCAAACATAACAACAAAAAGCATGGTTAGCAGATGCGGTAGGCAAGGTTTCTGAATACCTACCCCAAGATTTCCCACCCCCTGGAGTCTATGCCCTGCATCATCCCTGGTACTGTGAATATGATGGCGTCCATTCTTGCGATTAGGTTATGTTATATTTGACAGCTGACCTTAAAGAAGGGAGATTAGCTTCCTTCCAGAGACACTCTGGGGCACCTGGGTGGCTCAGTCAGGTAAGCGTTCAACTTCGGCTCAGGTCATGATCTCATGCTTCGTGGGTTCGAGCCCTGCCTCAGGCTCTGTGCTGACAGCTAGCTCAGAGCCTGGAGCCTGTCTTAGAATTCTGTGACTCCGTCTCTCTTTGACCCTGCCCTGCTCACACTATCTCTATCTCTCTCTCAAAAACAAAACATTAAAAAAAAAAAAAAAAAAGAGCAGAGACACTCCTTGGACTGGCAGGAGGACAGGAAGTCAGAAAGTCCAAGAAGGACTCAGCATGTGGTGCTCGCATGAAGATGCAGATGGGAAGGTGGAAAGGTTGCGGCACAGGATTCCACCGACAGCGACAGAGGAGACCTCAGGTCCACAACCACATGGAACTGAATCCTGCCAACAATCTGAATGAGCTTGGAAGTGGATTTTTCCCCAGAGCCTCCAGACTCTCCAGACAAGAACTCAGTCTGGCCAATATGTTGACTTCAGCCTTGTGATGTAATGAGTGGAGGACACCGTCGTACAGGGCTGGACTTTCAACCTGCAGAATTGTGAGCTAATCAATGGGCACCGTTTTAAGCCATGATACATATGGCAATTTGTTACACGTCAAAAGAAAACTACTATAGCAGACTTAACATCCTGAGTGTGTTCCTTTGAAAAAACAAATTAACACCAGGCAAACAGGTGTAAGATATGCTAAAACCTGTCTCGGAAAAGGAGAAAGTCTTCTCCAGTTTAATTTCTGGATTCAACAAACCATGATTTCAACGTTCATTAAACTTTACATTGAAAGACATAATTTCCTCTACCTTCCAATTTAGATAATTCATTAACACACATACATATACATATGATATCATAATTCAGCAATAGGCCATTATTATACTTAACATAAATAGATGAGAAGAAACAAGAAGAAAGTACACTGAATTTAAGCTTGAGTTAGTATCATAAATTGAATTAGAGACAAAGAGTTAGTAAGAAAGGGAAAGGAAAAAGACACAAGACACACTGAGCACCCACTGAGCCCTGTGAGGCAGGACCGTTACCCCACTGTGAGGATGCAGGAGGCAAGGACACACAGGTCCCTGCACTGTCCTAGGATCACACAGCTAGACAGGAGTCAGCCAGGATCAAAACTCAGGAGAATCTGGCGTGATGTAGACACATCTTCCACACGTTCCCACGCGGGGCCGCCTTGCGAACTCTGGCGCTCAGGTGACCCCTCAGTGTCCATCGCCATTACCTTTTCGGTGACCATGGTGCCGCGGCAGGCTCCTGCAGCTGTGCCATAATGGGAGTGCTAACAAGTACCAAAGACCCGGTGTAGCACCTGGCGAAGCACTCCTGTTGTGGGCGTGCTTTCAGAGCTGCTCTCAGAGAACACACATTGTCTGCTAACTAATCTAGAGGTGAACTTAAGACGGTGAATGTTAAGCCCTCCCCACACCACAGTAAGCGTATGAAGTCACCGGGCTGACGGGAAAGACAGAGAAGAACAAAGATAAACTGTACAAACAGGCCCTCTTCAATCTAAGGACATAGGTATTTTCACAAGCCTTTTAAGATAATGGTGGAGCAAAACATTAACACTATGTTCCTCACGATCTTGTTATTTGTGTGGACCTGACCTTCATCTCCAGATTTCAACATGACTGATATTAGGGCAGGTGGGAATGAAGAAGTTGTCTACAGTTGAAATGCCTATGTGCATCACTCCTTGAAGATTAATTCTTTTTACAGACAAAAGGGATATAGCATATTTTGGAAATTGTTACCCATATCCCTCAAAGTATAGCAAAATATTTTCTAATTCAAAGGAAAAAAGTTCATTATTAAGGATCTTAAAGCAACTGAGATTTAATTGAACTCACCAGAATGGAATAATCAGAAACACTTAAATTTTTAATCTTTCACCACCAAATTTCAAAGAGTGGCTTCCATTTTATTTTGACCCTCAACGGCAAAATAAAATGGCAATTCAGGGGCATTACCTGTCCCTATCTGAAAGGTACTTGCATTCCAAGGACAACCTAAAGTAGAGAGAGATCAGATCTATGCCAGGCAGCCATCGTACAGCTCACAGTCAAGGGTAAGACAGAGTGAAAACAGTGGGGAAGGAAGGGGGACAAATGCGGTCTACAGGAGCAAACATAACTTGTCTATCCTCAACCTTAATTCTCCAGGACAAAATCTTGTCTTACAAAATCATACTTTTATTTTTAAAATTTTTTTAATGGTCTTCTTTATTTTTGAGAGTGAGAGCACAATTGGGGGAGGGGCAGAAGGTCCGAAGCAGGCTCTGCTCTCTGAGCAGCAAGCCTCATGCAGGGCTCTAATTCACAAACTGCAAGATCATGACCTGAGTCAAAGTCAAGACGCTCAATTGACCGAACCACCCAGGTGCCCTGAAATCATACTGTTAAAATACACTGGGAGGAAAAGCTGTCAGACCTACCTCTCCACTGGTGATGGAGGCTTTCCACATTCCGAGGTTCTCACACCACCAATCTGTTCTTGCCATGTGCAGCTGTAGGTCCGTGCGTTCTTTTTCTATTAGAATTATTTCCTCCTTCAACTTGGAAACAATCTGCAAAAGGGAAAACATCCTGAGAGTTACAAAAGTACTTAAAATGCTATACAATGCAGCGAAGTAGCAGGATACAAAATCAACGAACAAAAACCAGCTGCATTTCTATATACTAACAATGGACAATCCAAAAAGGAATTTAAGAAAACAATTCCACTTACCATGGCATAAAAATAAGATACTTAGGAATTAACTTAAACAGGAAGTGAAAGGAAGATATCTACAATGAAAACTACACAACACCGATGAAAGAAATTAAAGAAGACATAAATAAATGAAATGACATTCAATGTTCATGGATTAGAAGACTAAACATTGCTAAAATGTCGATATTACCCAAAGCAATCTATAGATTCAACACAATCCTTATCACAATTCCAATGATTTTTTTTTTTTTGCAAAAACAGAAAAACCCATCATAAAATTCATATGGACTTTCAAGGCAGACTGAATAGCCAAAACAATCTTGAAAAAGAGCAAAGTTGGAGGTCTCACACTTCCTGATTTCAATACTTACTACAAAGCTACACTAATCAAAACAGTATGGTACTGGCATAAAGACAGACATATAATGGACCAATGGAATGGAATAGATAAACCAAGAAATAAACCTGTGCATATATAGTCAAATGACTTTTGACAAGGGTGCCAACATCATTTACTGAAAAAAGGACAGTATCTTCAACAAACAATGCAGAGAAAACCAGATACCCATAAGCGAAACAATGAAGTTGGACCCTTACCTAACACCATAAACAACAGTTAACTCAAAACGCATCGAAGACCTAAACTTAAGAGCTAAAGCTATAAATTCTTTTTTTTTTTTTTTTTTTTTTTTTTATTTATTTCTAGGAGAGAGAGACAGCGTGAGCAGGGGAGGGTCAGAGAGAGAGGGAGTCACAGACTGAAACAGGCTCCAGGCTCCGAGCTGGCAGTCAGCACAGAGCCCGACGCGGGGCTCGAACCCACAAACCGCGAGATCATGACCTAAGCGAAAGTCGGAAAGTCGGACGCTTAACCGACTAAGCCACCCAGGCGCCCCTAAAGCTATAAATTCTTAAAAGAAAATAGAGGGAAAGCCTCACTCACTGGACTGGCAATAACTTCTAGGCTATGACACCAAAGACACAGGCAGCAAAAGAAAACAGGACTTCATAAAAATTTAAAACTTTTGTGCAAAGAATACTATTGATGCAGCAAAAAGGCAACCAACAAGACTGGAGAAAATATTTACAAATCACATGTCTGATAGGGTACTAACATCCAGAATATATAGAGAACTCTTAAAACTTAAAAACAGAAACCAGTCTGATTCAAAACTGGGCAAAGAACTTGAATAGACATTTCTCCAAAAAAAGTAAATAAATGGCCAAACATGCAAATGGACATAACTAATCATTTGTGAAATACAAATCAAAACCACAATGAGATACCACCTTGCATGAGATACCACCTTGCACCCATTAGGATAGTTACTATAAAAAGAAATGAAAAACAACAATTATTAGTAGAGATGTAGAGAAACTGGAAACCTTATGCACTGTTGGTGAGAAGGTAGAAAATGGGGCTGCCATTATGGAAAACAGTATGGAGATTCCTCTAAGAATTCAAAACAGAATTACCATATGACCCAGCAACTTCACTCCTGAGTACATACTTAAAAGAATGGGAAACAAGATCTTGAAAAGGTATTTGTACAGCTGTGTTCATGGCAACATCATTCACAAAACTCAAAAGGTAGAAGCAAAACCAATGTCCACTGATGGGTGAATGGATAGACAAAATGCTGTATGTACATGCAATGGAAAACTGTTCAGCCTTAAAAAGGAAGGAAATTCTCAGAGTATATACTATGAATGAACCTTTAGACCCTATGCTAAGTGAAAGAAGCCAGTCACAAAAGGATGAATACCGTATGACTCTACTCATGAAATATTTAAGAGTAGTTAAATTCATACGAGGTAGAAAGTAAAAAGGTAGTTTCCAGGGGGTTTGGGATGGAAGAATGGAAAGTATTATTTAAGGGGCACAAAGTTTCAATCTTGCCAGACGAAACAATTTCAGATGGATGGTAGTGATGGGTACATAAGAATGTGAACATACTGATGCTGAAATCTACACTTAAAATGATTAAAATGGTAAATTTATGTTGTATATTTTGTTACACTTTAAAGAAAAATAAGTAATCTTATACCAAAAAAAAAATGCTATGCTCACCATCCCCTTGGGCCTCTTTCATGAGAAAACCTGTAGTTTGAGGACAGAAGCTTTGCCTTAAAACTCTCCTGAACATGCAAGCTTACAAGGACTCTTTTCCTTTTTGAAAAAGCAAAAAGCCACACCACTGCTTGTGTTTGAGAAATGCCAGTTAGGGGGATGCTGTTTATATTTTTAAACTTTCCAATTCTGTTGGCTTTTAGCAAAACAATTTATTTAATGTGCCATTCTGTGAGGCTCTCTCAACAGTGACTCACAGCATTTGAAAGAAAAATAAAATTAAAATGATTGTCCCTGAAAAGTTAATGTACTTCCAGAAATGGGTCTGGCACAAGCCAACGCTCTGCCCTCTTCGGCAAAGGCCCTGTAGGCAAGCCAGGCAGGAGAGCACACAGCTGTTCATGGCGGACACCTGAAGAGAACCCCAAACCACTGGAAGATTAAAAAACAAGTGCTTTTCTAATTCTACACTTGATGCAAAAAAAAAACAAAAACAATAGAATGTACAGATATAATTTTTTTTTTAAAGAAACAGTGATGTTTTGCAACAGAAACTGAAAACTACTACTTATCAAATCAAAAAAATGGAAACTTTCAAAGACAACCTTGAAAGTGAAAGAGTTACCTTCTTGTCAGGTTTTGGTGCATTTTGAATAGAATTTAGAGCTTGCCTTTTATATTCAAGTTTCTCATTTAGTTCTCGTAGTTTGTTTACAGCAAAACTGGTTTGTTCATTAATCCGACTGGTGCCTTCATCTACAGCTTCCTCACCAGCCTCACCTCCCAGGTCCTGGTGGGAAAAGTCACATGAACCACACTGTCTTATAATGATGGACTGTTCGACAATTAGTACATAGCGTAGAGCTTCTAGATCATTATAATACACTGTGCCAAAGTATTAGATTTCACTAACACTTTGTGGTAGAAAGTTCAGAAGCAGGCTGCTTTTCCTCAGCAAAGTGACAAATCAAAGTTATTTGGAACCAAAGTAACTGGTGCTTAGGGTTGCAATGAAAGAAGAAACATTTAATAGCCTGAAAAACAGGGTGGAGTGGGGGATGGGTTCCACACCATTATTTCCCAAATGGTATAACCAAGGGAATCTGCGTGGAACAAGGGAAGGCAACTGAGTTATCTGCCAATTCAACCAGAATGTTCTGGTCCTCATCTTGGACAAAGACATGGAGATGCATATGGCTTCTTTTGGGGCTCCTAAGAATGTTCTAGAAAACTCAGACCAAGTCCCTTTAAAATAAAATTTCCAACAAACTGGGTGGCTCAGTTTGTTGAGCATCTGACTTCGGCTCAGGTCATAATCTCATGGTTCATGGGTTCAAGCCCTACATCAGGCTTGCTGCTGTCAGCCTGTCAGCTTGGAGCCCACTTGAGATGCCCTGTCTTTCTCTCTGCTCCTCCCCCGCTTATGTTCTCCCGAAAAGAAATATTTTTTAAAAAGTAAAAGATAAATAAAATTTCCAAATTTCCACTAGTAAAAGTATTTTCAGTATACAATTTGTTCAGTCCCTCTCTTGAAAATGTATTTCACAAATCAACGGGTAAATCATGGTATGATTAAATGGTTAGGATTTCAAAGTGACTTCAGATTCATCAAGAAGTGCATAACTCTGAAAAATCTGGATAGATTAGCAGCATACAGCATATAAAACAGATCTGTGAGTAGCAACAGTATGTGGGGCAATGGAAAGAATTCCTGAGAACAATCTTTGGCTTTGTTTATACTCCTTGACATTCTTCCAGCATTTTTTCTTCTAATTTTTATTAACTGAAATTAACAGTAAAATAAAACAATTTTTTCAAACAAAAATGAAGTATTAATAATCCTAGAGAACTGAGCTCTTTTTAGTTTTGTATGGTCTTTCAAACCCTTGTCTGGGAGTGCAAATATCCTGACATAATTCTACACTTTATATGCATACAGACAGGTATTCTGTCTTTTCCATATAATTTATGATGCTGTTCAATTTGAGGGAATTACTCTTCAAAATTAGAATTTTTAAGGCTGTATATTATCCTGTATTTGATAGTACACCGAGGCGTACTCCTACTGCTGCTCGGGCTCTGGCTTGACTCTCCTGGTTTGCTATCCCAGTCGTACTAAACCAAACTCCACTGTACATTATATTTTCTACCCTTAAGTTATCACCTTAGGGTAAATTTCTAGAAGTGGGATTATTGCTACAAAGAGCAGAAGCACTCAACAGGTCAGTGATGCATACTGTCCTTCTTTGAGTCCTAGGTGAAGCTGGGCAATTTTTCATGTTTGCTTACTACTACCTTTCATATCAACTGTCAGTTCAAGACTTTATTCAATTTACCTGTTGGGTATTGAGGTTTTTAATTAATTTGAATAACCACTTTTACAGCATTTACTTACTAACCATTTTATTTTTTTTTTTTTATTTTTTTTTTTAATATTTTATTTATTTCTAGGAGAGAGAGAGAGACAGCATGAGCAGGGGAGGGTCAGAGAGAGAGGGAGACACAGACTCTGAAACAGGCTCCAGGCTCTGAGCTGGCAGTCAGCACAGAGCCCGACGCGGGGCCCGAACCCACGAACCGCGAGATCATGACCTAAGCGAAAGTCGGACGCTTAACCGACTAAGCCACCCAGGCGCCCCGTCTTACTAACCATTTTAAATTTGAGGTAGAAAGATAACACAGTTCAAACAAACTTACCAAAAAATAAAACAGACTTCTCCTAAAAATAAAATGCAATGAGTAATGACTTTTGGACCAGTTTGGTGGTGGTATACACGGAAAGTGTAAAGAACTAAATAACAAATCTTTAAAAAGTCTGTATGAGTGAATTTAACAACAGTTCAGAGACACCGACTTCTTTCCTTTAATTTTTTATTTTTTTTTTTTAATTTTTGAGAGAGAGAGATAGAGACACAATGATCAGGGGAGGGTCAGAGAAAGAGAGAGACACAGAATCCAAAGACAGGCTCTAGGCTTTGAGCTAGCTGTCAGCACAGAGCTCAACGCGGGGCTCAAACGCACGAAGGGTGATATCATGACCTGAGCTGAAGTCAGATGCTTAACCAACTGAGCCAGCCAGGTGCCCCTAGAGACACCAACTTCTAATAGCATCAAGAGTAAGCACCTGATTCTTCAGAGCTTGAGATATAACTGGGTAGAAAAAATTCAAAATAAAAAACTATAAGCTTTCTATGTAGGGCAACTGTAAATAAACATTTTGTTTTTCTTTGTACCTTCACAAATCTTAAAACCCTATAAATCCTTAGTGGCAAAGGAAAGATGGCAACTGAGGCCCTCCAAAATGAGAGCACACTTACGAAAATTAGACCTAAGCTGTGGCCAAGCAAGGTTTCTTTCAGGGTATCTTACTTACATCTGATTTAAACTCCAAAATACTTCTTATAATTGCTCTCACATTCTCTTCCTCTCCTCACTTCCCCATCCTTTGTCTATTCTAGGACTGGACTAAGTTCTACTGATTCTCTCACCTGGCCGACACTACCCTATGGACTCTCTGCCCTGGCTTTTCAGGAGTCACACTTGGGGTGTGTGTCAGGTAGAGAGAGGGCTGGGAGGCTGCAACAGGAGGAAGTGGTCGTCAGTAGTTCAGAAGAACAAGGGAAGAGGTACATAAGTTCTACTTAAAGTCCTGCATGTTAAAAGATGAAAAAGTGCACCAAATTTGCTTCAACAGCATGCACCTGCCTGATCGTATGTGAAGCTTAACCACTGAGAAGGAAGGAGAAAATTAAATATGACTCACCATTTCATCCTTGCTGGAAATCAAGTGAGAGCCATGTTTCTCTTCCTCTTTAATCATCAATTTCTCGTACAGGTCACTGACAATAAATGAAGGGTAATACCTATCCTTTAGGGTCTCATAAACATCGCCCTGGATTTTACAGAACACTTCAATACCTTTATTTCCTACAAGACACTGCTGGATTTCTTTGTAGAGTGATTTTTCCACAGATATTTCTTTGCTTTCCACAAAGAAATTCTGGTAAATTTCACCAACTAATTGTGGGATTTCATTCTGAAAAGACAGGAAGATGAAGAACAAGAAAGGTAAGAAATATCATCTCTGACAAAAATAATTTTATTCTGAATTCCTCCTTCTTAAAGCTGGAGGAAGATATTGAGAACAGACACCGCTACTGGTATCAGTGTGGATCTCTGCTTTTGTGTGCACATTCAGAGTAAAGGGATAAGAGGCTGAAAAGACAAGTGGCTCCTGAAAACGAATACTTTATGCTGAATAGTTAACAAATGTAATTTCTATTAATTAAATGCAGGAAGGGGAAAAATGCGAATAGTTCTCTTCTTGAAATGGATTCCTTCTTGTAAATCTAAATTCCATAGCTCAATTATCAGCTAAATTCAATTTGCTTTAAATATAAATCTAATATAAGTAATTGGAAGTGCCATTTCTCACTCCATAAGTCATTATTATGTAATTTAAGAAAACAAGAAAAATATTCTTCAGAATGATTTATTGCATTATAATCAAGCTTATATTAGACAGCTTAGGCTTAAACATTATACTTAGGTCACAGCCAGTCTGCTGCGGAAATGCAAACATCTGTTCTGGTTAACATAACATTTATATTTCCTCTGAAAACACCTAATTAATTCTAGGAATGTTATACAAAGTCTTCAACAGGATTAAAAAACGAAGACAAACAACTCAATAAATATTGTGAATTTAACAAATGTCTCAGAACTTTTACACCCAAATCAGTGTTGCTAGGTCAAAATAGAGCTATTTAATGAAGCTATATCCTTGTATTTCACCAAAATCTTTTACATTGTTTCCAGTAGTTTAGGAAAATTCCTTAGATTGTTCTTTGCAATATTCCTTTGAGAGCAGCCAAAAGTCATTTGGAATCAAGTCTGATAAATATATAATGAAGTGGGCAAATGCAGTATTGGGTAAAATGAGGTAATTTGTGACTTACAAAATAACAAGGAAAGGAATTTCTAAGAAGATTTAAAAACACTTTGAGACCAAATCTAATTCCGTAACCAATGTAGTATGTGATTTATGATGTATTTTAATAATATTGAGCTATAGCAACACTCATATGAAGTGCAAAGAGTAATGTACCCAGTGCTTTGTGCTAATTTTAATAAACCTCTCAAAATATATGTATTATATATAGTATACATATTGTCATGTATATTTACAGACACATTTAAACATACATATTTCATATTCTTTAACTCTTAAATGTATTGAGGACTTGCCAAGTGCAAAATACAATGCTTACTGGGGCTTTTCATTGTAAGAGAACAAAAATCTTTTGTGTTTCTTCATTCAGTCATAATTTAAATAAAAGAGAAATAGTAGTGTAAAATATGCACATGATAATAAAATAAGGTTAAGAGATTGAAGTGTACGTGACAAGATCATTTCATTATACTTGCAATGTGAATATATAAGCCTTTTTATAATGTGTTTAAAAAAAATTTTAAAAACTGCATGAAAGTAAATTCAATTCAGAAGCATCTTTTTGTAAAAATAAAATCTAACTTTATTTACCATTATGAGTTGGAACATAATTATATTTGGTTTTAAATAATCATTTAATGTATATTTATCTTAGAGATTCGCTTAGAAGCACAGATACACTGCCTAACATGCAAGTTTTCACCAGCTAGTGATTAACATTCCTTTGAACCTGTAGATACTACCTTGTTAGCACTCTTTAAATATTCCACAGACTCCCAAAAGCTAATCAGAGCTCTCCTGTCCATCCGTTCCATGTACATTCGAAAGTGCTCTCGGTAGAAAGTATTGGCCAAAATATCTTCAAATTGAAGAATCTATTAAGGAAATTTAAGAAAAAAATTGTTTTTAAAGTTAAAAACTTAAAAATCAAATTTTAAGTATCAGTTTCCTTTAATCCTTAATGGATTAGTGTGTACATTCAGAGAAAGAAGTCTCATTTTTAAAGTTGTAGTCAAACCATTACAGTAATTCTCTCAGCTTCCTAAATTTTAAAGGGAAAAAGTTATTAAATATTCAAAATGCACATATTCAGTAAGTGCCAATTTTCAATTAATCATCCACTCATTCAGCAAGAGATTTATTTGGCATCTACTCTATATCAGGCACGTTTCTAAGAAATCAAACAGACAAAAATCCTTGTGCTATGGGACATATTGCTAAAAGTAATAGATGCCCATAATAGAAAACTTGAAGAGAAATATAAAAAAAGACCAGGAAGCTGGAGTCTAATAACCTGATATTTTTCCCTTCCATCCTATTTTATAATTGTGATGAAAATTATTTTATATCTTGCTCTTTCATTTATAGTATCACAGTCATTTAAAATATCTTTGGAAGCATCATTTTAATTGGTTCATAATATTGCACTGTATGAGTATATCAAAATGACTCTTTTGTTTACTATTTTGCATGCTTCCAGAAAAAGAAAAAAACTAATCTGAAGATACAGTGGGCAAACTCTTGAGCACAGGCTGCCACAGTAGGAGAAAGCAGATCACCTTCATAATAATGCATAATTCAATTAATTAGGAGAAATGCCTCAAGTTAATTTAGAAGGAATTGAAGTCCCATATCCTTAGTTCTTAGTTAATTAAAAAAAAAGACATGTAAGTGTAACTCAAATGCTGTTAAAAGAAAAGAAAAACTTATCTTTTAAGATTCTTAACATTTATATTGTGGCGGTTGGAAACTTTCTGGAAATGTGACCAGTAAGATCTTTCTAAACTCAAGTGCATATGATCAACACAGATTCAACTCTTCTGCCAGCAGAGAGCCCTCAATAGGTTTTGTGAAGGGAAAGGTGCAGGCATTTTTCTAACAACTTCTGGTAACTAATTAAAGGAGACAGCCATCCCATGCTACAGACCACTAACAATTAGGGTCCATAAATATCTCAGACAATTAATATTTCGTTTGCTAACTTTGGAAGATCACAGCATGTATCTTTATGGAAACTCTACCAGCAAAGCACTGTGACATACACATTCTAACTGTACATGGTCCACAGAGGTTTGGAGGAGCCCATATCAACTCTGACTAGGAATAAACAGACCACTCTGAGAGCTATCAATTTATAGCATAGGGAGAAAGGGTATTCAATGAATTCTAAGAAAGTCTCCCTAGTATAATTGTCCTTGGATTGAAATGAATTCCAAATTAAATACAAATTCACGTATTTGCAAAACCACGTCCAAAACATCTTCTAAAATATTAGCCATCTTTAGACTTTATTATGTTTTATGAATATTCTATGTTCAGTTCCAAAAGTGCAAATATATACAAATAAATGACAGCAAATATATCCAAAGGATAGTTAAATATGTTACATACCTCTTACCTTGACTAATGGATTAACCAAGTTCTCTATCCATTTTTTTTCCTTCTCTTGAAGAAGAGAATTTCACTGTGTAATAACTACACTAATGGAATGGTTCTGGGTGGAGAGGATGTGTAGATAGTACACTTCAAAGTTAAATATATTCATTTGAGATTAACTCAATCTCAATTAATTTGAGATTAATTTCAGTAATTCTAAGATTTTTGTGTGGAAGTGTAAAGAGAAGGGTGGGTAGGTCAAAGTTGACACCACTACTAAAATAATCTTTTTAAAAAAATTATAGATGATATGGGGTGCCTGGGTGGCTCAGTCAGTTAAGTGTCCAACTTCAGCTCAGGTCATGATCTCACCGTTTATGGGTTTGAGCCCCACATCCAGCTCTGGTCTGGTAGCTCAAAGCCTGGACCCTCTTTGGATTCTGTGTTTCCCTCTTCTCTCTGCCCCTCCCCAGCTCACACTCTGTCTCTCTCTCAAAAATAAACATTTAAAAAATTACAAAAAAATCATAAACTATAGATAATGTAATACTTAACATTTACTAAGGGCTTCCATACAACAGACACTGTGCTCTTATTTGTGGAGTCAGCTTTTTTCCTGTGCTAAGACCTCTGGTAATTCTGGGAGGAGGGTTACCCGTCAATGGTCTCTAAACTAGATCTGGTTTCATGATGCAATTTTAAAAACTTAGTTTTGTGTTTTGTGTGATTCCCTCTTAACCAGCTAGTTAATTTTTCTCCAGGAAACATTTCCACCAAGCACTAGAAAGTACCTTAGGGCCTTAGAGAAATAAATGTGTTCCGAAGCACCCAACATGTTACCAAGAGTGACACATAGGATTCTCTACTTACAAAATACCCACAAAATACTCATGAGAATATCTCCAGCAAACTAATGAGAATATGTAGAATTAGGATATTGGGAATGATGTTTTATCCTAAAAGGAGAGATTACAATTGGATTTTTCTTACATCTATATCATCATTAAACATACCTCCCTAATAAGCAATGTAAGAACATTCACTGAGTGCTCATACAGCAAGTGGTGTACTTACCCTACTATGTGCATTATTTACTGGTTGCCATCCTATAGGATACATACAACTATTCCAACTTTACAACTGGAGTACAATAAAGCTAACTAACTTGCCCAGAGTCAATCCCCAGATACGGAATTCAGAGCCAGGGTCTCTGACTATACAGCACAGCTTCTTAACCATAATAAATTAGTTCTTCTCCTTAAGAAATTACCTGATTTGTGTTTATAGCAAACTACAAATTGTATGGAAGTCAAGAAGGAAAGATGCAGTTAGGGAAAATGCTCTACAAGAACTCCATCAGAAAGAGAAAGTAAGGCAGCCTTTCCATATTCAAGTTCAGAGTCCTGGGCTAGGTTACACTCTATAATGTTAATTTTGGATTGGTCTCAGATCAAATATATTAATATAAAAACTGATCTTAAACAGTGGGTTGGAAGATAGTGGTGGAATAGGAGGATCACAGGCCTGCCTCATCCCATGAACACAACTAGACAACCAATAAATCTTCCTAAATACCCCAGCAACTGCCCTGCAGACTGGCAGAACAAACTCCACAACTTTATAAAGGTAGAGAAGAGGGCAGATAGAAGAAGGCAGGAAGTGCAGAGATACGCTTGGGAGAGAAATGGATCCTGGTGCTGTGGTGGGGAGGGAGCTAGGGTCGCAGACAAGGGTGGGACACAGGGGAATACAGGGGAAAACAGATCCCCCAAGTAAATGGCTTGAAAAGGACAAAGGGCCAAAGTTTGGGACTTGTGGCAATCAACAGGGCTTAAAGCCTGGAGTTCTAAAGGTCAGTGGACTTGGCCGGGATAGAGGCCGGAGGGCCCTGCACTGTTCTTGGACAGAAGGCAGGCAGACAATTCACAGACATACAGCATGCAAACAGCAAGCTGAAGAGCACCTGGGCGACCAAGTGGGGAGGTTATTCACTTATTTCGAATGTATCCCAGAGAGGCAGTGTTCATGGAGAGACCATCTGGGAACAAAGGAATTGGCTATAGCCATCTCCCCGACAACCCACCACCCCTAAATGCTACTAAACAATGAATAAGTCAAGCAGGAAGTCAAAGAAGAAATTTTAAATTTCTGGAATTTACATGGAATACATAGAAACAATGGAAAATGAGAACACAATGACTCAAACCCTGAGATGCAACAAAAGCAGTACTAAGAGGGAAATTTATAGCAATACAGGGCTACCTTGAAAAGCAAGAAAAATATCAAATAAACCATCTAACCTTACACCTAAAAGATCTAAAAAAGAACAAAACCTAAAAACCAGAAGAAGGAAACAGTACAGATTAGAGCAGAAATAAATGATATATAAACTAAAAATCGTAATAATAATAAACCCACAACAGAATAGATCAATAATATCAGGAGCTGGTTCTTTGAAAAAATGCAATGAAATTGATAAAGCTCTAGCCAGACTTATCAAGAAAGAGAAAGACTCAAATAAAATCACAAATGAGAGAGGAAAAATAACAACCAACTCCACAGAAATACAAGTAATCACAAGGGAATATTATGAAAAAGTATATGCCAACAAATTGAACAACCTAGAAGAAATGGATAAACTCCTAGAAACATATAATCTACCTAAACTGAAACAGGAAGAAATAGAAAATTTTAACAGACTCCCAATAAGCAAAGAAATTGAATCAGTAATCAAAAAACTCCCAACAAACAGAAGTCCAGGGCCAAAAGGCTTCACAGGTGAATACTACTAAACATTTAAAGTATAGTTAATATCTATTCTTCTTAAACTATTCCAAAGAATAGGAAAGGAAGGAAAACTTCCAAATTCATTCTGTAAGGCCAGCATTACTCTGATATCAAAACCAGATAAAGACACTACTAAAAAGGGAGAACCACAGGTCACCATCCCTAATGAACACAGATGCAAAAATTCTAAACAAAATACAACCAACTGAGTCCAACAATACATTAAAAAATCATCTTCCACAATTAAGCTAGCCTTTCCCCTAGGCTGCAAGGGTGGTTCAAAAGTTACAAATCAATGTGATACATCACATCAGTAAGAGAAAGGATAAGAACCATATGATCATCCATTCATGATAAAAACCCTCAGTTTAGAGGGAACAAATCTCAACATAATAAAAGCCATCTATGAAAAACTCACAGCTAACATCATCTTTAATGAGGAAAAGTTCTCAGTTTTCCTAAGGTCACAAATAAGAAAAGAAGGTCCACTCTCACTACTTTTATTCAACATAATACTCGAAGTCCTAGCCATAGCAATCAGGCAACAAAAAGAAATAAAGGGCATCCCCATTTGTAAGAAAGAAGTTTTACTATTTACAGATGACGTGATACTATACATAAAAACTCAAAAGACTCCATCAAAACACCGCTAGAATTGATAAATTAACTCAAAAAATTCACAGGATATAAAATCAATGTACAGAAATCTGTT